TGAATGCTGCATCTTTTTCAAATGCTTTTGTTCACCCCACAGCTGTAGGGGAATCTGCATTCTAATCTTACTGGTCTCTGAGTTGTCAAATTTCCAGAGGAACTTTTATAGAAAATTGACTCTGGCTCTTGTTTCCACACAATGGCAAAAGGGATAATACAGTGCTTTAACAAATTCTCATCTACAGTTTAAGATGCATGCGTGACAGTGGTCATATTTAGGTAGGGCCACGCTTTATTGAAAATAAATAGGCAAAAGTCAGTTGGCGCATATACAACACACAGTATAGTGTCTTTCCTTCACTGGCACTGTATTTCTGTGGTGCTTCACATGTCTGTAACAGCAGATACTTCGTAGACACTTAAGTGGAGTTGGTGTGGTATGGAGCAGGCTACATGAATGGGAGGAACATTTATATAGAACATCTCAAAAGGAAAGGTATCAAGTTCCTTTCAGTCTACTGTAACTACACACTCTTGTCTGAGTTTTATACCAGCATATTGCCAGAGAGAAGGCAGAACTTCAGTTGCATCCTAATAAAACATACTGGCAGACCCTAAGTATAGAGACACTGGAAGCCATAATCACACATGGCTGGATCTTCTACAAGAGAAATTGGATTAATAATCCAAGTGAATGAAACAGGAGCTTAACTTTGGTGTCTTGTTAATGCGTTAGTGCACTAACCAAAACTTTTTGATGTATTTTTAGAATGTGTCAAATGTGATATGCTGCAATATTTCCCATCATTGTGCTCATCATTTTTGTACGGAAGAGTATTAGGGCCGCTGCATAATTTTTTTTTTTAAATTCTGACTTTATTCTCAGAATTCTGACTTTATTCTCGGAATTCTGACTTAGATTAAAGTCAGAATTCTAATCTAAGTCAGAATTCTGAGAATAAAGTCAGAATTTAAAAAAAAATTATGCAGTGGCTCTAATTAAAAAAAAATGTATGCAGTGGCCCTAATACTCTTCCGTATTTTTGGAGGGGTTAATGGGTTGCTTTGACAACTGTGCAGTGCAGAGGCAAAGGCACTCTGTGCAGTGCATCACAAGCAAAATGTTTTACTTCTGTGGAGCTGCAACAGTCTTTGCATTTCTTACATTGTTCGGGGCGGGGAACAATGCTGCAACCAGTATGTTTTGAAGTCATATGGAAGGTGAAGAAGGTAGTAATGATTTGGTGCAGGACTGGGTTGTGCTCCTCTCCTTTCTCCATCCTCTCCCCTCCCTCCCTCTCCTTTCTTATTCTCTCTCTTCCTCTTTATCTCTGGGTGAATCAGAGTAACAGATGATTGTGCAGTTTGTTTGGGATAGTCTCGGGAGAGTTGGGGGGGTGGGGTGGGGTGGGGGTTGAGCACATTCACAGGATAAATTACAGGAGAATAGAAATCCTTTTAAACTTTCTCTTCTTTTCTGTACCCATTTTCTGTTGCCTTGTCCTTACTCTCTTCCAGAGTGTTGTGTATTTCCTCCTTGGTTGTTGAGGCCTCCTCCTCTTTCTCCTCTCTTTTTCCCCTCTGTCACCCCGTGGCCATCACCCCTACTACACAAAGAGCTCTCTGGTATCATTAACTGCCCACTCTTTACCCACTCAAGCATTTTTCACTGTTTGATGATGGCCTTGCACATGAATAAGGGCTCATTTAAGGTGTTAAACACTTCAGATGTTGGTGAAGACAACAGTTGATATCCACAAAAGAATGTCCCTCAGAAAACCACAAGGCTTTTCTATTCACTGACAACACATTTACAACTTTCCTCTGTGTTTTTGCTTAACATTAGTGTTTTGTAGTGTTTATGCGTTTAGGTAATTACCATGTTTGGTATAAATTATACTTTAAAAAATGTCACAAGTTGTGTTATTTTGCTTCCTCTCTCTGACTCACTGTGAGTTGAACGCCTTTTCAATTGATCAAAAAGAGCTGTTGTTCCTGTGGTTTGCTTTTTTACGATTATGTAGAGACAAACTGTTGGCATTTAGGATAAACACCTGTCATAGTCAAATGAGTCAATTTTGTGATGTCAAATGATAAAGTGCAGCTTTCAGTCCCTGTAATATTTAGAGAAGCTATGACTTTCTATTTAATTTTTTTGGTAGAATTGAATCACTCCCTTCTTTAGAATTGTTTTTTTTATAAGTGTTTACAATATACATTAGGTTCACTTCACCAATCAAAGTTAAAACAGACAGATATATTGGCCCGTTAAGCATGACGAGTCGTGAGTATCTCCAAAATGTTTCTCACTTTGTAACAATAATTGTCTCTACCAGAGATTAAAGACATTCAACAAGTGTTCATGTCCTTAAGTTGACATGTCATCATTTATTAATTATGTTTACAGGCAAACAAAAAAATTTGACCATGTCATTGGCAGGGTTGCAGAGAGTTCATGAATATTAATAGTCGCGCCACAGTGTGTCCCCTACATCGCTTTGCTTGTCAGCTAGCATTAGCTCCTAAACTGTCTCTGTGAATATGTGTCTGACATTTTTGTCTGTTGGGAAAGATGGGAAGGAATGGTGAGGTGAAATGCAAAGAGTGCAGTGGGGTTAGATTTATTATTTTTTGGCCAGGGCCGCTACTGTTTCTGACAATTACTGTATCTGTTCTCTGGTGGATGCAGGATGTATACTTTTTGATATTTTGCACTTTTTTTTTTTTTTTTTTAAATATGAAGGAAGTTAGTTTAATCCACATACAAAGGATGCACACAGATTTGCATTAGTTGTACAGTGTTTATCACACTGTATTCACTGCTGTGGCTCAGGTGGGAGACCTACAGTAGTTTTATTTTAATCTTCGACTGATACCTGCCACCTCCTGTCCATGTCTTGTCCTTGAACAAAACTCTGAACCCCAGATGGCTCTCGATGAGCAGGCCAGTGCCCTGCATGACGAGTATTAGTGTGATAGTGTGTATGTGTGTGGGAGAATGACAGGCTTGAATATTTTTTTTCTTTTTACAAATGTTCATCATCTTTGCAGAATGAATGGATGCAGCCATGAAACATGGTACAGACATTCATATCCCCCTAAGTATCATTTTGTTTTTGTGGTCTCCTGATTTTCCATTGAGCGCCATCATCAGGTCAAAATTTCAAACAGTTCACTCCTTTGGTTTATGACCACATACTGCACTTGCAAGACTCCTGACGTTCCCATTGGTACTTTGTGTTCAGTGTTAATATCCTAAGCAAATGTTACCTTGTTAATGCATTAAATTAAGATGGTGAACAATGTAAATATATCCATCAGTGTTTAGCAATTATTGGTATTGCATTTGTGATCCTCACTATCATGGTTGTGTTGGCTGGTGTTGTCATTAATTTGATTTCACTTTTATCATTTTTATTCAGACTTTATATTTTGACAATTTTGTGTGAATCGGTCTCTAGATGTTCTACTGTTTATATTTCAGCCCTCTTATTAGTATGATTAATTTCTCATTTACTTGTAAAGTACTCTGTAATGCACTAACCTGAGAATTATTATTATTTTTCAATTTTAACTTTGTTCCGGGAGGTCTGTTGTCATCTTGCTTGTGAGTTACGAAGCCATATGCTGAGCATCCACTTCTTGGATTTTAAGTGCAGCTTGAGCTGTGACCCTGAACTTGGCCTTCGACCCAATTTGTGTGTTCACTTGCCTGGAAGACGCCTTCTCCTTTGATAGCTGTTTATTCGGGTCAGAAAGAGAGGGGGAGACTGACAGCAACAGAGAGATCCCACACTACTAAAGACCAGATTGGCCTCGTCTGGCTCCAAGACAAGCTTTTCAAACTCTTCTTTCACTCCTTTCTCTAAGATGTGCTTTCTTCTCTCCCTTTCTTCTCTCTCTCTAATCCGTCCTTCTGCCTATTTAGAGGTGAACAGCGCAGCATGAAAGAGAGAGAAAGTGTTTTTTGTGTGCTTGACGGGTAACCCTCGCCCTTTTGAAAAGGTAAACAGGGAAAAGCTGCCATTACTACTGGCATGCAGGGATTTTAAAATAACGGGCTTTTCTGCCACTTTATTAGTATTGTAGAGACTAGTGCAGCATCACTCCTCTTTCACCCTTCTCTTTCTCTGTCAAGTCTATGTCCATGTTTCATTCCATGAGCCAGACTTCCAAACGATAAAAAGGGAAAGA